TTTTTTTGGTCAGATTCTCACTCTCTCACTCAGACTGGAGTGCAATGGCACCATCTTGGCTCACTGCGGTCTCTGCCTCCCTCCCAGGTTCAACCGATTCTCTGCCTCAGACTCCTGAGCATCTGGGATTATAGGCATGCACCACTACACCCGGCTAATTTTTGTATTTTAAATAGAGATGGGTTTTCACCATGTTGGCTGGGCTGGTCTCGAACTCCTGACCTCTGGTGATCCGCCCACCTCGGCCTCCCAAAGTGCTAGGATTACATGTGTGAGCCATCTTGCATAGCCCCCCCCAAATTTTTTTAATTAGAAAAAGAATCTGGGCACAGTGGCTCACACCTGTAATCCCAGCACTTTGGGAGGCCAAGGTGGGCGGATCACCTGAGGTTAGTACTTCGAGACCAGCCTGGCCAACATGGAGAAACCCCGTCTCTAGAAAAAAATACAAAATCAGCCAGCCGTATTGGTAGGTGCCTGTAGTCCCAGCTACTCAGGAGGCAGAGGCAGGATAATCACTTGAACCCAGGAGGCGGAGGTTGCGGTAAGCAAAGATCACACCATTGCACCCCAGTCTGGTCAACAAGAGCAAAACTCCATCTCAAAAAAAAAAAAAATTAGGAAAATAAAAAGAGAAGGCAGACACCAAAGACCACATAGTGTATGATTCCATTTATATGGAACATTGAGAACAGACAAATCTACAGAAAATAGGATAGTGGCAGCTGCCAGGGGCTGGGGGAGGAGTGACAGCTAATGGGTACAGGGGTTCTTGGTTTCCTTTCCTTTCCTTTCTTTGAGACAGGGTCTCACTCTGTCACCCAGCCTGGGGTGTGCACAATCTTGGCTCACTGAAACCTCCACCTCCCGAGTTCAAGTGATGCTCCCGCCTCAGCCTCCCCAGTAGCTGGGACTGCAGGTGCCCACCACCAGGCCTAGCTAATTTTTGTTTTTCTTTGAGATGGAGTTTCACTCTCGTTGCCCAGGCTGGACTGCAATGACACAATCTCAGCTCACCACAACCTCCGCCTCCCAGGTTCAAGCGATTCTCCTGCCTCAGCCTCCCGAGTGGCTGGGATTACAAGCGTGTGCCACCACGCCTGGCTAATTTTGTATTTTTAGTAGAGATAGGATTTCTCCATGTTGGCCAGGCTGGTCTCGGACTCCCAACCTCAGGTGATCCGCCCACCTCAGCCTCCCAAAGTGTGGGGATTACAGGTGTGAGCCACCTAGCCCGGCCTAATTTTTTGATTTGTCTTAGGGACGGGGTTTTGCCATGTTACCCATGCCGGGGGGTTTCCTTATGATGAGGTGAAAATATTCTGGAATTAGGTAGAGGAGATGGCTGTACAGCACTGTGAATGTACTAAAAATGAACTGTACACATTAAAATGGAAGAAATGGTGACTTTTATCTTATA